GATCGTTGAGCATTTTTCAGTGAAAAATCACCAGAACGAAATTTGGCAAACCAATTTTGACACTGCCTTTCTTTCAAGGCTTCATTCCCATATACGGCACATAACTTCTTGTGTGCTTGTGATGCATTCTTGCCTTTTCGGAAATAATACAATAAAATATGTCTGAAATGCACGTCTTGTTCTTCCATTTTTAAATTGGGATAAAAACGAAACTAAATAACTAATCGATACAATTTTTTTACTAAATTAAAGGTGGAAGTCTAAACAACAAGAAAATGATATAGGTTAAATGCTTTGAACACGATGACAAAGCAAAAAAAATGTGCTAAGGCCACCTATTGACAAAATCTGCAATCACTTAGTTGCCAACCCTATACTTAGTGCAGTTAATGCATTCCAAAAACTTTACTGCATTCACACTAATTGAAGAATATCTTTAATAAGAAAATTGATTATTCATTTGAAAAAAGCTTTTCACTTAAAAATAATTAGAAATAATATAATAATAGATTAAAAATTTATAAAATCTATAAGAGAATTAAAAAAAAATGCTATTAAACTTAAATTTTTATCACTACTTTGCAACTAAATTTTTAAAACGTTTTTTTTATTAAAACAGAATACATCACTATTTGGATTTGCCTTCTTTTCTGCAGAAAGCTCTCATTAATACCAAATTGCATTTTCTAATACTTTGTGCATTAATGCTTCATTTTTATTTGTATTATTTGCTTTAAATTTGTTTTAAATGCTCCATTTTGTAGTTAAAAAATAATAATAAAGAACAAATTAAAAAATTTAATAATATAAATAGAAAAAATGCAATATACTGTTACATAATTAAACAAAATCAAACATATAGTTACAAGTATGTTGAGGTTTCATTTCTTTAAAGAAATCTCGTCTTTAACATCAGGTAAGAATGGAGAGATGCTATCATTTTCAACTTAAATCTGAAGATGACCCAGATCAGAAACATTAGCATTTCTCAATCTTACCACTGCTAAAGAGATATTGCTTACAGTGGCACCTGCAGACTATAGAAAATGGGAGGGAGAACATGGTATAAAAAAGGCATCCTACAAACATTTTATAAAATAAACAATATATATATGTATGTACAAGTATCCCTTGATTAACACAGTTAATTAATCCCTCAATGCTACCACGTATACCAAAATCCGATTAACAATCAAATACAATTATACCTCAGTACTTGACCAAACAATCACAACCCACTAGAACAAATTTTCAGTTAACAACAAATATTATTTTGTTATTAACTGAAAATTTGTCATCAGTAAAAAGTTGTGTGTGATAAAAATGAGTAACTAATTTAAAAATAAAATGAAACGTTACAGCTTCCTTGGGAATTAAGAAAAGGGAAACCTGACAAGGTGGCATATGCCCAATGAGCACCCTTGATTACTTACTTCATTAAATTAACTACATTGGCAAATTCAATTTTTTTTCACTTCTTCAATTACATATCCTTCTAAGTTTTCATTACTAGTATACTTCATGCTGTTTATATTGTATTTAACTGTCATTCCAATCTTTAAATGTTTGGCATGTAATGTCAAAATTTTTCTTAGTTACATGATGCAGATTCAACGTTGCATCTCCAACTTACCATAGTGCCTTTATAACAAGTAAAAATTCAATTATGTGCACAGAAAGGATTTGATTTTGTCACTTAAGCATTCTAAATACCTACTGTAGCATACATTTATTAACAAACTAATAAATGAGCCCGATGTTGCTCAGATAAAAAGTACAAAAAATTCTTGACATTCTTGACCCAGACTCAAACCTAGATTCCCCAGAGCAGCAAGCTGGTTGATGCCTTTACTATCTTGGCCATCAGCTGCCAGTTAATAAAAAGTGTTCTTTGTTCTGTTTATATCTTAAAGACAATATCTAAAAATAATGTTTCTCCAATGTTTACCAAGGACCAGCCTACATGAGTATCATGCCAAGGAATAACAAACACCCAGTATGAAGCTCTTCTCTACTGAATCCTAATTGTTTCTGATCAATGATAAGATTGTTGGTCCTCCAAATGAGTTCTACAAGCCTTTATCCTACAGAATAGCCACCTTTTATTCCATTATTAAGAGCACCTGTACACACTGTCCCAAGCCACATAACAGGAAGGAGGAGCTAAGTTTCATCACACCCATAGTGGTATGACACTCATTAAGAAATCCGTACACCAACATACACATCACAAGGAGTAGGCCTATCAGTGGGAAGGTAGCCTCATAGTTATTACATACAATAAGGCAATGTGGCTAAAGTGGCTAACATCAGGATCGATTATAGAGGGATTTCCAACAATCTTCACATTGATCAGAAATGATAAGGACTAAGGCTGTGTACACATTAGGTGTTTTGCATTGCGTTAAACGTGCGTTAGCAGCGTACACATCGCGCTTTAGCTTGGCATTCGATGACTGTTTAATGGAGCGTGAGCATTGGCTCAGTTTGGAAATGGACGTGAAAGTAATTGCTTGCGTGTGCCTCCTCCATCGTCGCTATAAAAGACGATGGCAGAGGCAAAGAGAATTTTGGGTGNCAACAAACATCTCGGCACGGCAGAGCATGTGCAATACATCTTCAATCAGATCCAGATGATTATAGACTTTGCTGAATCCACCAATAACGAACTCAGCCCACCTGTGAAACATCTCACCTCTACTGCTCCTAAAATAGAAGACCCAGCCCATGCATCCTCTCCTCTGGGAGGGAATGCTCCAGATATGCAACCCACGGAAATAGAGATTACCAACGACATGTGTGTCCCTCCATTTCTGGGAACTCCCATATGTAAGGGACCTCTGTCCCCTAATCATAACGAGTCGTTGCTTACCGGCATGACCCCAACATTGCCCATCCTGCTGCCACTCAGAAATAAACTAACACCTGATTACCACTCTACTGATCTCAGTAAAAAACTTGCAGAGATCATCACCAAGATTGATGGCCTGACAGGATGCAACGAGAAGATCCACATGAAGGTAGAAGATATCTCCTAAAAGCTTAATCAAAGAAGCCCTACAGGACAACTAAAGGAGATTTCTGGAGAAATAAACCAATTACGAGTAATTACAGACTTTAACTCCACTCCCACTGAAAAACCACTGACGTACAGTGCTATCCTCCAATCGGGGAAGACCATAAATCAGATTAATAATATAAAACCCCCGAAAACTCCTACATTAAGCACTTAAGTTTTACTTCTAATACCAAAATAACAACGACAAAAGTTGCAACAACCTAAGAAAACTTATTTATGAAAGGATTAAACCGTCACAATTAAATATAGGTATAGAGAGGATAAGAAACATTGGTAACGGTGGCCTGGCTGTTGAACTGAAAAAGGCAGCAGATGCTCTTAAATTACAAAAACATATAGAGGAAAAATTCCTGAAATATTAATAAAACAACCAAGGAAACAACTACCAAACGTCATACTCTATTCTGTGCGTGCTCAAATCACCAGTGATGAGCTTGCGCAGCTCATCTTTAATCAAAATGATACCGTAGCCGGAATTTCCACAGAAGAACATTTTAGAGAGGTTTTCAAAGTAAAATTCGCCATGGGGAAAAAAGGAAATGCCTTCACAAATTGGATAATTGAGGTAACACCTCAAATTCGAAAACAACTATTAATGCTCGGAAAAATCAGCTTGGAATGGTCTCGCTGCAGGGTTGCAGACTTCTGTCCCATCCTGCAGTGTTTCCGCTGCTGCAGGTATGGCCATTCCACTAGAAACTGTAGCCAATCCACTGCAATTTGCAGCCATTGTGCTGGCAATCACATCTTTAGGGAGTGTGAAAACAAAGACAGAAAACCCATCTGCATAAATTGCAAGCATGAGAAGGTCGGCAACCATGAATACAACGCTTGAGATGGCTCCTGCAATATTTTCCAAAAAATAAAGTCCAACATAATACGACAAACTAATTATGGCCAGACAAAATCATAACAAAATTAGTTTTCTACAGTATAATGCTGGAAGAAGCATAGCAGCGACTTCCATACTCAATAGTATCATGCACAACTACGACTTCATTACTTTACAGGAGCCATATTGTATAAAAAATAAACCGGCTTGTCTCCCTACCAACTGTACACCGCTCAGGGGCACCACCGACTACCCCTGGGCTGTGTCCATCGTTGCCAATCATAACCTCTCTCTCCTCCATCATGGGATCTTAAGTACTCAATACATCTGTTGTACAGAAATCGTCGTCAATAATCACAGATATATTGTTATTAATTACTATTCTCCAAAGGACCTAGATATTGACATTCTCCTCAACAATATCCAGTGCATCATGAATACCTTTAATGATGTTTACTTTATAGTCACTGGAGATACTAATGCTCACTCCCCTGCTTGGGGAGGTGAACGCTTGGACCGCCGTGGCCGCCTACTCAAAGATGTTTTTGCCCGTAACGGTCTGCACATCCTCAATAATCCCCATTCCCCACCTACCTTCACATCAAGCCAGGGTCACAGCTGGATTGATGTAACAGCCTGTTCTGCTAGCTGTTATCCTTCAATCACCAACTGGAAAGTATTGGATGACTCAATAGACGACCATGCTATCATCTCTTTTGAAATTGGTACCACATCCCCTATCAACAATCATCCTCATTCTAAATATAATTTAAATCTTGCCAATTGGACTGATCTACATTCTTTCCTTGACTATAACCTTTCTGATTGTGATCATGATGATCCCAATATAGTCCGCATCGCATTGAGCACAATATTAACATCATAGAAACTGCCTGCAAAAAGTTTATACCAAAGTATACCAATAAACGCAAGCCTGTCCTGTGGTGGACACCTGAACTGACAATTTTACGAAGGGAACACATCCGCCTAAGGAAGACCTACCAAAAATGCCACTCCGAACTCCAGCGGTCTAATTACAAGCAACAATACCTTGATCATCTCCATCATTACAAAACTGAAATAAAAAATGCAAAACAGGTGTCCTGGAGGCAGTTTTGCACCACAGCCTCCAGTAATCCATGGGGCTTTATTACCAAATTTTGCACAGGTAAATTAAAAAAGTCACAAATTCTTTATTCCAACACCTCTGGGGAGGACTTCTTTCATGTCTTGAACAAAAAATAGACAGTTTTTGCTTGGAGGATGCAATAGAGCAGGACTCTGCAAACCATATACAGATTCACCAAAGCAACGAAACCCCCATCAATATAGATAACGATCCTGACTTCATGCCACATGAGATTGACAATGCCTTCTCCAGCCTCAGAAATAAGAAATCTCCAGGACATGATGACATTACACCAGAGATTGCAAAAATTATCTGGAGTCTCATCCCGACCAAACTCATCCATCTGTACAATGTCTGTCTCCGGCACAGCATTTTCCCTGGTACCTGGAAGTGGGCAAGAATTGTCCCTGTCCCAAAGCCAGGCAATCCTGTTGAGAGCAGACCTATATCCCTACTGCCTGTCCTCGGCAAGGTCCTGGAGCAGCTAATAAACAACAGACTTCTGTGGCACCTGGAGCACAACTCCATCCTCCATCGCTCCCAATTTGGCTTCCGCCCCCAAAAATCTACAGCCGACGCCATTAACGAAGTTGTCAACAATGTCAATCATCTCCTGGACAATCATAATTATGTCCGGGCCATGCCTGGACATTGCAAAGGCATTTGACAGTGCCTGGTGGCCATTGATATTACAGAATCTTAGGAATATGAATTGTCCTGCAAACATTTACAAGATTCTAAAAGATTACCTTTGTGACAGATCAGCCACATTACAGTGTGGAGGGCACACTATCAGTCGCAGCATTGTTCGCGGCTGCCCTCAGGGTTCTGTATGTGGCCCAATACTATGGGATATCATCTTCATGACTTTTTGGCTGCAGAATTTTGGGCAACATAACACAATTGCATATGCAGATGATGCCATGGTGCTCCTCGGATGCCGCTCTAGGGCAGACATTGAGAAAAACGGAACTAGCATTCTGGATAATATTTTAACGTGGGGAAAGGAACATAAACTAAACTTCAACGTGCATAAGACTAGATGCATAGTTTTTAACAAACCTGGACATTGCAACCTATATTTGAGTGTCCCCACCATTAAAATGGGGGGCCATACTGTAACTGTTAAAAAGAATATCAGGTATTTGGGTGTGGTGCTTGACCACAGGCTCTTATGGACTGCCCACACGGAATATATAGCGGAGAGAACTGGCCGGATCTTTAATACTTTTGCCGGCTTTTCAAGAAGATGATGGGGCCTAGCTTCTGATGCAATGGAAATTATATACAATCATATCTTCGTCCCTATTATCACCTATACCAGGCTACATAGTTTTGGTAATTTTTTTTGTTTAACAATTTCAGACATTCAGTTAGTTACAATTATAACAATTTAATTATACAATTATTTTTAAAGTTCACTTTAAACTTATATACCCAAATATGACATCTTTATAAATATTTGTTTCCAGAATGAATTGAAGAAGAGCCCTATAAGAAGACAGAATAAATATATCCTGGTATTTTAGTTTGGAAAATTTTGCATTTTAACGAAGAATATAAGTTTAAATCTCATTTACAGATAAATTTATTTGCTTATTTTCTGTTTGAATCTTTATTTCTTTCTTTGAATAGACATATGAATTAAAATTTAATGTGTGTCTTAAATATTTCTAATATTCAGTGATCTACAGCTGAGACAATTACAAATGAAAATGTAAATCAATTTTGATTGTCAATTTGAGATACACCATCGAATTTCTGGAAACTGATTTTAATCCAGAATTTCTGGAGCACTTCTTTTAATCCAGACAAATTTACAAAAGAGAATTTGAAATTTCCATGGCCACCAGACTAGTTTACTGGTCAGCCACAGATGGTGTGTGTGGGATACACTTATTTACACCACACTTGATGGTGATGATACTGGAATTTTGCAATATTCTTAGTTTAATTTGCTTAAACTTAACTATAACTATGGCTTCTAAGAGATGACAGTGAAAATGTATCAGTGATGGTGTCAAACAAACACCAGTCCATATTGATCCAAGATAAAGTAGAACTGTCAAAAAAAAAAAAAAAAGAATTAACTGTGGTGTTTTGGTACGTAAGATACGTTGATGTATTATAATATGTGACCAGTTCAGCAAAATGGTTAATCTGGAAGAGTTTAGAACCAAGGGTGCCAGAAATTTGATAGTGTACTTGTATTTATTTTACATGAAATTAATTCATAATGTAAAATGCAGGACTTAACAAGATTAAACAAGATGAAATTGCAGACAAATCCTCTAATTTATAGAGCAAAAACAAGATGGAGTATTGTGTTTGCTTTAACTACTTTTTAAGTAAATTTAATTGTTGCAGCATATTTCAAAGTGCTAATCACCTGAAAAAAAAATCTTTTACAATATATACTATAGAAATATTCTATAGCATTGGTAACTAAGTGCTTGCGGATTTTAAATAAGAAGGAAAATTCAAAATTTTTGCTTAAAAATATAACTTTATTCAATTAGGTATTGTCCATTTTTGTCATTGACCTCTTGCCACCTTTCAGGCAGTGTCATAATTCCATGTTCATAAAACTTCTGATTTTTGCCAGCAAAAAACTGAATTAAATGTGTTTTTACATCATCACCGTCATTAAAAATTTTACCATTTAAGGAGTTCTGCATGGAACGAAATAAATGGTAATCTGAAGGCGCAAGGTCAGGGCTATATGGTGGATGTGACAAAACATCCCAACCTAGCTCCAATAACTTTTGGTGAGTGACCAAAGATGTGTGGGGCTTTGCATTATCATGCTGAAAAACAACACCCTTACGATTTGCCAATTCTGGCTGCTTTTCTTGAACTGCATCGCTTAGTTTGGCGAGTTGTTGAACGTACACATTTGAATTAATCGTTTGGTTTCTTGGTAAAAGTTCAAAGTACAGAATTCCTTTATAATCCCACCAAACTGACAGCATAATCTTTTTTTGGTGAATCTCAGCTTTTGGTTTCATCTGGGCTGGTTCATCTCACATCACCCACGATCTTTTCTGATTAACATTACTATAAACTATCCACTTTTCGTCACCAGTAATCAGTCGTTTCAGAAATGGATCAATCTCGTTGCGTTTCAGACGAGAATCACAGATGCTAATACATTGCGTCAAATGAATTTCCTTAAGCTGATGAGGGACCCATAAATCCAGTTTCTTGACATAGCCAAGCTGTTTTAATTTTTTTTGAACGCATGTATGTGATACATTGAGCTTCTGTGCAATCTCACGCGTTGTGCTATGACGATCTGAATNGGAAATGGACGTGAAAGTAATTGCTTGCGTGTGCCTCCTCCATCGTCGCTATAAAAGACGATGGCAGAGGCAAAGAGAATTTTGGGTGCACCCAATATTACAAGATAGACTGACGCATGGAATGTTTGTGACGTTGTATCCAAAACTAAGACAATATGAACCCAAAATTTTTAATTCTTTTAGAATATCTATAAAATCATTTGACAATGGCTGGTCTCTTTTAGATTTCATCAATAAATAGATTAGTATCGAAATGATCATTCTCCATTTCGGCCAAAGAGCGTCCACTCTGCCCGAAAGCGCACGATCGAATGTACAACATCATGGCAGCACATATCTCAAAGCGCGTGGCTGACGCCCGCAAAACACACATTCTAACAAAAATCTATCAACGCACATTTGACGCATGCTTGGCCAGAAGCATGCGTTTGAGTATGTATACCTATGCAGAACTCTTGGTTCTTCAAAATGCGCGTTACCAAAACATGTGTTTAAAAATGCCTAATGTGTACACAGCCTAAGTAGAGAAGTGCTTCACACCAGGTGTTTATGCTATTCCTTTGCATGATACTCATGTAGACTGGTCCTTGGTGTACATTGAGGCCATTGCTTGGGACCAGATTAAAGACAGAATACACACATGATGTTAGTAAGAAACTCTCCAAAACAGCTCTGGTGGAATACTGTTTGAATGGTGATGTGAGGGTGTTTTTGCTCAATATTAAATTTTTGTAACAAAATTACCAATTTTACCAAAGAACTGATGGGGTTTATTTTTCTATCACTTTTCATGGGTTATAGCTTGTAATGAATAATTAACTTAACCAAACTGAAATTTTACTTTTATTTTGGTAAAAGTAAAATTTACTGGAGGGCAAAAACTGAAGAGTAGAAACACTAACTGTGTAATAGTCATATATATTTGTACAAATCAATTCTTTTAATTACTTTTGTTGGATGAGTGATAAGCAGCTTGCACTTGTGAAGTAAACATAAAAAAGATATTGAGAAAAAACTTTTATTATAATGACTGTTACAATGTACTGCTTCATAAAAAAAAGGGCGGAAAAATTAAGTGCTGCAAACTGGCAGGTAAATTAAACCAATAAATAAAACAAACATTAAAATTTTAGCATTATGACACAAAGTATAATAATAATATACATATGCCAACAATTTTATAAAATTACACATTGTAATAAAATTTTAAATACAATAAAAACAAAAGAAATAAATGTAAAGGACTCATTCTTCAAATAAATATGGTAAACAATTTAAAAAAAACATAACAGACTAAAAATGCCTTCACTTTTTGCCATGTCCAATCACCAGGAACAACAGTCTTCCACAGAAAAGATGACCTTTCTTTAGAGGCAACGCCTGTGCAAAAAATGCAAAACAGTCTAAAAGTTCACAGGTGACAATCCCAACAAAATTAAAAATATAACATTTCCT